CCAGGGTGGTTTCAGTGGAGCAGTGAAGATGGAAGCCAGATGCCATGATCTGAGCATGAGCTGGCTGGGAGCAAAAGCTTGTTAGGTGAAATCTGATAAGAGACAGAGATAGGTGTCAGAAAACCAATGAGATGATTGTAATTTCTTGGAATTTAAAGAAAATCCAAGATGAAATAAAAAGCTTAGCTGAGAAAAATATGTCTGAGGGAAGATGAGCATGCTTGTGTCTACCAAATCCAGTGTGTGTGTTCACCATCAGACCGACTGCATGGTTATCTCAGACATTCCTGCAGAAATGGGCTCTACATGTAGGTTAATTAATCTCAATTAAGTACAGGCGTTGCTAAAGAATACTTACTGCCGATAAAGCAATGACTCCCCAAGGTAGTGTTTCTCAGAAAGGCCCATGTAACCACCTGCATCAGAAATCCAGAGTGCCAGCCAGGTGCAGTGGCTCACATCTGTAATACCAGCACTTTGGGAGACTGAGGCAGGAGAATCACTTGAGCTCAGGGGTTCAAGACCAGCCTGAGCAACATAGAACCTATCTCTACAAAAAAATTCAAAAATTAGCTGGTGTGGTGGCACTTGCCTGTAGTCCCAACTACTTTGGAGGCTGTGGCAGGAGTATTACTTAAGTCTGGGAAGTAGCGGCTGCAATGAGCCATGATTGCATGGTGCAGTCTAGCTTGGCCAACAAAGCAAGAGACCCAGAGACATACCCTGAACCAGGATTTCACAGTGTAAGACCCAGTTTTAGGGAACTCTAGTTTGGAAAGATCTGGAACACATTTGTCCAATGCATAGCTGATGATGTGGATACTTCCTAGCCATCCCATTCATACATTTGTCCAATGCATAGCCGATGATGTGGATACTTCCTAGCCATCCCATTCATGAGATTCTCCAGTAGTTTCATGGCACGAGTAGCTGAAACCAGATTAAGGGCCCTGCCTACTGGGCAGTTGCTTGGAGCCAGCATCTATAAAGAAAGTTAAAAATCTTCCTGGAATAAACAAAGTGCCAAGTGGTTCCACTTCTGTCAGAGGAGATAGTGGGGAAAGAAAATCTTTACTAGCCTTAAACTGTCTTCCTTAAATATTTTTCAGAAGAGCACGAAGGTGGCTGTCAGCTGAGATTTTTAAACAGGATTATGTATGATTCAATGTTTCCTTCCTTTCCTTTCCCTTTCCCTTTTTCCCTTCTTTTTCCTTTTCCCTTTTCCTTTCCTTT